TTGGAATTTGGAATTAATACTAATTTTCCATTAGTTATAGATAATGAATCATCTGCCATGGATGTTTAATCTTCTGATATTATACATCAAAATATAAATGCTCTACATAACTCCAGACAAAATTATATTACTACAGAGTCAAGTGAAAAGATCAGGAGAGCTCTTGGGCATAACATACAGACTTATGCTTGTGTGGTATATACCAATAGTAATGAAGTTTATACACAAGAAATGTCACAAGATGTGGTGGATACTAAGGAGAGAGGACTTAAGAGATTAATCAGTAATTATGTATTTGAAGTAATTCCTTTTTAAATGCTATTATGTAAATAACACTCAAATAAACCTGACTCAATAAACAGCAGCTTAAAGAAGAACAATTTTATACTATCTTTGGTCATACAGGTTGTCAGTTCTTTAATTTTAATAAGTTGCTTTGTTCTAAGATACACTTAATTCACATATGTGAGTAGCGAGCTGACCAGTCAGGGCTTATCAGTCAACATTTTCAGATTTAGACTGTTTACTATTTTTTACAGTGTGCCACCAACAGATAACAACAGAAGGTTATATATATTGAACTTGATCTACAGTTATGTCATTGCAAATTGAAATCATGTTAAGATCAACTTACTTAAAGAATGTAGATGCAGAGATTCTAGTAAAAAAAATACAACCTCCAATTTATCAATATGTTTTGGTATTAGCTGCAGATTTCACCATCCACAGAGGTAGGAGGTGGGTCTTGGAACCTATCTACCATGGATAATGAGCTCTTACTTTGTGCATAATTTCCAGGCTGGGTATTGATATATTCAAAGTAAAGCATGATGAAATAAATTTTATTGATTTCCAATATTTATCTCATTTGTGGCTCTTCTGAAATAACTAGTAATTCTTCATCTCAAAATTTACATGAATTTATTCAGAAACTGATCCTGTTGTCAACTTTAAGATACATATTTGGTGCACCTGTTACTCATAAATTGAACTCTGTTGGAACTCTAAATTATTGCAAATTGCTACGCAAGAAATTTTGGTTCATTGGAACACAACAGAAATTGAGGAATTTGTTCCAATTCACCTAGTTATGGAAACCAAATAATATTTAAATACATACATTTTTACTTTTATCATTAAGTATTTATTGTAGGGAATGGGAATAATTTTTCCTGCTTCACCAGTTAAGAAACTTTTATCTTTAAACTTAAATTTTTGTACAGAAAAATATAGAAAATTAAATTTTTTTTTATATTACTTTTGCCTTATAATAGTTAATCTATTTGCAAATAAATTTAATAAATATAACCGTTATTATAGGTATACGTTTTATAAATTTAATAGTATACTGAACTACTTCAATCTTTATTGCTTATTTGAAGAATTTATCATGCCCTACCATAGTGACTATATATATATATATATATATATATATATATATATATATAGACAAAATCAGCACAGATATCCAAACATGGTTACTTTCATTGCTTAACATTCCTGTTTTACATGTTTCATTGCTTTCTGCTTAGTTATTCATATTTTGGTGTCATATCTTTTTTGTTTTTCCAATCATTTTTGTTTTTTTGCTGCAGTTCAACAATTGCAACATTACAGTCTTCTTTCTCATATTTATTAACACCAAAACTCTGAGGATGCATGTAAATTCCTTGTATATTTTTTATAATCTACACTTTGTTATGCATAAAAATTTATGAGAATTAAAAAAATATATAAAGGCTTAACCAGATTTCATATCAGCCAAAGCTAATAAACAATTTTCAATAGAAAAATACCAACATTTATTATCTGACTTTGAGTAGAAGTAATCAAAATGTTAATAATTTAAAATAGACAAGTTTTATGAGAGGCAAACTGTGAAATTAGCATATTAATATCTATTTTTCATCTTTACAATAATCTTTTTAGAACGTAAAAACAAAACACTAATTCTTTAGTTGATATTGTGCATTGTAAGTAGATATGAGAATTATATTTGCAAATTGTACCGAATTTTTTTGCATCATTGGAAAGATCAATTTCTTAAACGAATGTATAGGCTCAGTTGTATATTCATTCATTCAAAAGTATAAAACATTATTTGTAATTCTGTTATTTCAGAAAACATGATATTGTATTTATAATCATATAACTGATTATTGCAGAAAGATAAAAGTGTGGCAGGGGCGATATCACCCCTATAATAAAAATAATAATAATGATAATAAAGGAGGATATGCTGTAAAACAGAAAACACCAACTGAAAGAGAGGCATTTTCGAATAACCAAGATGTTAATATGCTGTAAGGACTTTGAAATGTAAATGTTACAGAAAGTTAAGTTAGAACATGAAATACAATCTTTTTGTAAGTGTACAAGGATACCAGATTACTAATAGAAAATTACTGGAACAATAATGATTTGGAACTTTTAAAAAAAAGAAATGGATTTTGACACTATAAGAATCAAAGTTAAACTCGAGGATGTTTTGATCTAAAATTTATTTTTAAAACAAGAATCTTAGTTTACAAAGAGCAGCAGAATAAATAATAGCGAGGGAATAAACAATAGCGTCTTGTTGTGAACCTTGGAAACCAGTCGATGAAAAAGTAAATTGTTTATTCTCGGAGGAGTGAAGTTGTACTTTGGTAATATGTCAGTACATTCGCACTAGAAAAACAGAGCCAACCAAAGAGAATTTTTGGATTTGTCTGTCTTCGAATGCAGTCGAACTGAGTGGAGAGATGTCATAGATTGAAAGAGAAGCATTTGCAGTGTGTTGTTGAAGCTGAGGGCAAAGAAGTGAAATACCACCACTAACATCTAAGTACCACTACTCCTGCTATTACTACTACTGAGGACAGGAACATCGAAGGTTGTAGTATTTGCGCTAAGAACAGACCAAAAAGGGTTAAAACAAAGGCCACATTTCTCCTTTACCGAAATTATTCAAAGTATTTGTTTGTTTGGTTATTGTTAACATACAAGAAACATTCAACCTTGTGCAACAAGAATTATTTTTTTTTGTGTGTGTGTTTGCTTTTATATATAAAAAGCTTTTGTCTTTTCGAAATCAAATTGACTTGGTTATATTTATTTTTCTGTTAATCCGATTCTCACCCGACAAACTCACAGGTGGACTAACAAAGAGTTTCCGGTTTTCTACAATCTGATGACCCCTCTCCAGGATCGAAACGATCACAATGTGGCTGGAGGGTGACTTCAAATTGACATTGGGAACTGGAGACTTGTGTCTAACCTGTAATACTGGACCATACCGAACCAACAGCTGGTCTTGTGGAGTATGCGGGTCCAGTGGGGTGAGGATGTAGTGTTACAAAAGCTCTTCCTTATATTACTACTTTAAAATCCTGATAAAACTTGTCTGTATATGTGCTTTCTCCATGAATTAGTTTCCACAAGTGAGGAAACCTAAAATCTTGAATGAATAAATATTATAAATAAATATCTTGAATGAATAAATATTATGAATAAATATCTTGAATAAATATTATTTAAGAAATAAGAAGTTATTTCTTAAATAATATTTATTCATAGATGTTTGCAATGTTATAACATCAATAGATTCCAAAAGCTATTCAATGATTAATACTTCTAATGTTCTACACATGGGATTTGTACTACAAAGATATTCAAATATGCATTGAATCCTTCATGAGATCTGATAATGATATTAATTTGAATATATTTATGACAACCAATGCTTCAACTCACAAAGGTTAAATCATACTGACTACTTGGAGTTTATATGAGTGAAAACTTGTCAAAAATGACAAATACAGTTTAACAGGGAATGATTTTTTATTTTTGCATCATTGTTCTATAAGTGAAAATGTAAAAGTATTTTCCTGAAAAAAATCATTAGTAGTAGCTATATATATATATATATATATATATATATATATATATATATATATATATATATATATGTGTGTGTGTCCTACCCAAAAGAAAAAACTGAATTAGGACGTCCATACATAAACACAAGATACAAATCATTTGAATTTCTCCACTGTACTCTACTTAGTACCTCTCAAAAAATGCTGATAATATTTACATACCTTCACATCGCTTCTAGAATGACTATTGGGAGTTTGTTATTGCGTTGACTAACTGGTCTTTTCTGATTTTCTACTTCCCATCAGGTTGATATATGAAACTAAATTGAGATGTATTGATTTATTGTAAGTATATTCACCAGAAAGTAATTTTAAGTAATATGAATACTATAGATTCTGGTTGTGTGGCCTAACTCTTAACATAGTAAAACCTAGAGTTTAGCATTTTTATCATCTATAATGATTCCTTCCTTTCTTGAAAGGAAATTGGGATCAATCTCCCTCATCTGGCATTGAGAATTGAATATTAGATTTTGGCATATTCACAAAATTATTTTGAATATTGTTTTCAGTGGTTTAGTATTTTAATCAAGCAAAAATAACTTAGCATGTGCTAATTGCATTTGGAAGTTAATGTAGCCAATGCATTTATCATATAAGGTACTGAATAGGTAAGACTTAAGAATATATGATCAGTATTGTTAACATTTCAAATCAGAGTAGGCATTCCCTGTTTAGCAACTAATCTTATTTTTATTTTATTAAATCTATATACTTGTATATCAATTCATTTATCTATTATCAAATCAAATAAAGAAGATATTTATTAGATCAATCATTAAAAAAAAGATATTCAAAGTAATTTTTTATAGTTTCTATTGTGCATTTTTTGTAATAAAAATCATACTTCCTAGATATTTGGAAATTCTTTTTAAAGATTTCAAAACCTCCCTCTTATATAAATCACAAGGTTACATTATACAATAATTACTGTCAATTCAGTTTTTCTTTTTTAGTGTTGAAGTATGAATTTATTAGATATACTACATTTATAAATATCTGTAATTACTATAGCAATAAAATTTTGATATCTGTTGTTAATTTACTATAAAAAATTTTTTTTTTTTGTTTTTTTTACAGAGTGGCTTGCATTACCAGTACAACAAAGTCTTTGGATCTCATTCGGCAAAATTTACAAAAATTCATCAACAAGGAAATTGACCAAGTAATTCAGGAATACATCAAGGTAACAAAATTATTTCCGATAAATTTTTTCTTATATTTTAGTATCCAATCACAAAGTCTATTGTATTTGTTATGTCGTGTATATTGCTAAGTAAGCATTCGACCTCTGTTCTAGTTGTTGTCCATTTATCATATGAGCTACCTGCTCATATGCAAATTATACTAATTTGCATATCACTACATCTCCCTATAATGGAGGGGCCTTATGCTGCGAGTACTTCTTGTACTTCTTCTTGTGCCCTCCTGAACATCTTCCTTTATCTCTCCTTTCCCTTGGAGATCTAGATCTATCACGTCTTTCCCTATAATCGAACTGTTCCTCTTGCATACTGTGGTCTTCCTCTTCTAACTTGTCCCATTCTACTTCTTCCTCTTCTAACTCATTCCTCTCTACTTCTTCCTCCGCAGTTTCATTCTGCATTAACTTTTCTGTTACGTCAATAATGGGCATCTCTGAAGGCATTTCCTCATCCGATTCTTCTCCTTGGGATCTTGTTTAGTCAGCATGAGCTAGAATACTGTTCCCATTTTCTTTATTTAATATTGCAGTATTATGTCCTTTCTGCATAATAAATTCAGCTGACTCGGGTTTTTGATTTGTGGCATATGACATAGTCAAAGGGGACCTTAATTGTCTGCCCATTAAGGCAGATGGACTTTCCGGCCTGCCTGCATGTGGAATTGTTCTATAACTTAATAGTAGTCTTGGTAGAAAAGCATCGACTTCCTCCTTCTGTTGCAAGCATGCTTTTATGCCCTTCTTTACCGTCTGGACCATCCTTTCCGCTATCCCATTACTTTGAGGGTGGTAGGGAGGGGTCTTGTAAGGTCTGCATCCTATTTTTCTTAACCATTCATGCAAATCAGCATCCACAAATTCTGGTGCGTTATCAGTCACCAATGTTCTCGGTGTCCCATTCCTCAAAAATATTACTCTTAATATTTGTTTTACGGTGGTTTTTTTTTTATCAGGTACTCTCACCACTTCAGGCCAACCTGAATATCGTCTACTAATATTAATAATAGTCCTATCCCATTGACATAGGCATGGTCCATGTGTACTCTGCTCCATGGTTCTACTTCTCGGGGCCATACATGTATTTTCTTTTGCTTAAAATTCATAAGTTCTGTGCATTTTTGCATCTTCTTACGTAGTCTTCACGTCTCTTGAGTACCCCGCCACCAAGCTTCCAATTTTAATCTTCTTTATGTAGCTGCTACTCCACAATGTACGTCATCATGTACACTTTTTATAACCTGTCTCCTCTGTGTTTCTGGGGAACTACCAAGTCTCCCTTACATATTATCCCGTTTTCTATAGTCATTCTATGTCTAATTTCTTTGAATGGTCTTTCAGCCATTGAACAATTTCCCCAGTGATTCTGTTTTATCCTCGACATTATTCTATTTAACACTGGGTCATTTGTAGTTTCAGTAGCCATTTTATCTACAGATATTACATCGGTTTCTACAAGGTGCAAGAATGTGTCTTCAAATTCCTCGTCGTTTTTGTCCTTCTCCTCTCTATAAAACCTCAATCTAGATAAGGCATCAATGTGCGGTATCATATTCCCTTTAACATATTCAATGTCAAAGTCAAACGCCATCAGTTTAATCGCCCAACGTAATATTCTGGACGTTGTAACTTTCGGTAGCTCTTTTCTTGGGTTGAAAATAAATTCCAGTGGTCTGTGATCACTTTTCAACAAGAATTTTTTTCCCATCAAAAACTGTCTTGCTCTATCTGTTGTCCACACTATGGCTAGTGCCTCCCTTTCTATATTTGAATAATTGTGTTCAGTTGTTGTTAATCTCCTCGATAAGTACATTATGGGATGCCCATCTTGTGACAAAATACCAGATATGGACTGCTCACTAGCGTCAGTAGTTAGTTATGTCCTCCTTAGGGTCAAAAATTTGTACTATTGGCTTTTTTGCCAGAATCTGTTTTAAGTTTTCAAAGGCTTTCTGTTGGTGTTCTAACCAAATGAATTCCACATTTTTTCTTAACTTAGCAAATGGTTCTGTCAACTCATTATATTTTGGTACATATTTTCTATAAAAATTTACCAAACCTAAGAAGGACTCAACTCTTTTTTTTTTTTTGGTGTAGCAACTTTTAGAATTTTCTCTATTAGTACTTTATCTGGAGAGATCCCTTCCTTTGATATTGAGTAACCCAAAAATGATATTTCTTTACTGTTGGTTACACATTTTTTTTGTATTTATTGTCATACCAGCGTCTCTTAGCCGGTTCAGTATATTTTCAGTTTTTTTCTTTAAATCATCTTCATTTAAATCTCCAATAGATATATCGTCTTGATAACAGATGGTATTTTCAACATTTCCTATTACTTTTTCAATAGCTTTTTGAAAAATTGCACTTGCCGTTTTTATGCCATACGGCATTCTTTTCCACCTTAAGACACCTATAGGTGTGTTTATGGTCGTCACTTCTTTAAAATTTTCATTTATCGGTATTTGGTGGTAAGCTGATTTTAGGTCTATCTTCGAAAATACTTTCATTCCAGCAAGTTTATGTAAAGCTACTTCCACATTCGGAATAGGGTACAAGTCAGCACAAACTTTATGGTTCACCCCTATTTTATAATCTCCACAAATTCTCAGGTCACCATCTTTTTTTTTCAATACCACAATGGGTGATGCCCATTTACTTCCTCCTGGAGGGGCAGGTTCTAATAAGTCTTCCTTTATTAGCTTTTTTAATTTAGCTATTACCAACGGTAATAAATGCACTGGTATTTTTCTCGCTTCCGTAGTAGGAGGGGAAACATTTTCTTTTAATTTCAGGCTAGCTTCATAATTTTTTTAATTTTCCTGTTTTTCTGTTTCTATCTCATTAATCAACTTCGTTGAATTTATTTTAACACGTCATTCCCCAATAGTCCATGCATTTTTTCGGCAATTTGTAACTATAATGGGTACTATTTCATATTTTCTTTTTTAGTTCTATTGAACCTTCAAAGTAACCCATAATTGCTATAATCAAGCCATCAAACTGACGTAATTGTACATTGTTTTTTTTTAAAAACGGTTTTCCCATTTTTTTCCCACAAATTTCTGGGTAATATCGTGACCTCACTACCTGTGTCAATTTGCATTTCGACAATACAGTCGTTGATTTTCACTTTTATTTTTGTATCTCCATTCTTAGATCCAGTATTTTGTATATTATCCTTTTTTGCATTAAAAATCTGTCTATTTTCATCCTCTACTCTTTCCACATTTTTCGTTTTACATACTTCTTTGAAGTGATTTTTTTTTAAACACTTTGAACACGTCTTTCCAAAGGCTGGGCATTTTTCTTTTTTCATTTCATGAATTTTTCCACAGTATGCACAATTTTTTCTTTTTGTTTGTACCGTATATGTTTCAGCCATTATTTCTTCGTAGGATTTATTTTTATTTTGGTTGTAGGTATGTATTAATTCCTGCTGTTGTATAAATTCTATACACATATTCAAAGGCATGTTTGTAAGTTGTAACTGTCCCATTAACTTGTATCTATGTGCTGAATTATGCATACCTTCAATTAATCTTAGTTGAATTAATTCTTCTTCCGTTGTCTGCTCTCCTGTTCCTAGTTTTTGAATTCACAGTATTTTCGCACTTCTTAACGGTGTAAATATTTTACTATCGGTTCATCCACTTCCTGCTTCATTGCCATAAACTTGGTCCTTTCTGCAATCACCAGTCTTTTCTTTGGCCTCATGTTTCCCTCAATAACCTAACTTATTTCTTCAAAAGTCATTTCTTCTAGTTCTCGAGGGTAAACCATTGTAGCAACCTTCATCATCGCTTCACAACCAGCTGTAGCCATGAACAAGTCAGTGATTTCATTTTCCCCTCCTCTGTTTTTGTTGTCTTTCCACTTTTTACATCTTGCATTAGCAGAAAAGCAACGAATCTACGTACTCTGGGTCTTCAAGGACCAAAGAGTATCCTATTGGCGACGCCATTGTTATGTCGTGTATATTGCTAAGTAAGCATTTGACCTCTGTTCTAGTTGTTGTCCATTTATCATATGAGCTACCTGCACATATGCAAATTATACTAATTTGCATATTACTACAGTATTCATACAAAAATAAATGTTTATAATTGATCCCATTGATTACCATAAAAGCTCTTCCTTTATGAATAGTTAAGGAATTGGACGATATTTACTATATCTTGTAGTAATGGCAATGACAAACTTGATATAATAATTTAAGAATTGAAAAACCTGATTTGTAGATATATTTATTAAACTTACTTCAGTTGAGTGCAAGACCAAATTGTAGTGACAAAAGTAATAGCCTATCTCACCGAAACAAAATTTTCATTGGTTGCATGTATTCTTGGCTGAAAATAATTGAAAAAACCCAGCCATATTTATGGTTCTCTTTCATGGCTCACCAGCTTGTGCAAATTTGCATCTGACCACTTGTGAGTGTCTTGAGTGTAATGTTTATATAAATTCCTACTTTTGAGTGGCAAGCAGCAGTCTGCTGGAATTTGTGCATGTATGTGTTTATGTAACCACTGGATTTGTGGCCTGCACAAGTCCTTCAGTTGCACAAATAATGGTAGGAAGATCATATTGCACCAGTTCAGCATTGAAATCCTATGTTCAAATACAGTGTGAAATATATAACACTTAGCAATTTGGCATGCCCACAATGTGTAGACAATTTCTGTCTGATTTTACATTACTCCAAATACATCTCATAATAAATGTTTTATTAAGAATGTCACTGAATTTACATTAGTGACTTAATGAGGTAAAGGATCATATTTTCTTCAATCTTATGTATTACTCCTGTATCATTGAAAGAGAAACACCTACAAATTATGATGCTTCCAACACCATGCTTTCCTGGTGGAGATGACATTGTTTTGATCATATGAACATTGCATCTATACTTAGCCCTTTTTTGAGGCAGGACTGGAATTAATCTTTGCATAAAGCAAGGTGGGTACTGCCTGACAAAGGATTTGCATAATGATTTGAGGCAAGTTTTTACAAGGCTAGATGCTCTTCCGGGTACCCAATTCATACACTCATTGTAGTCCAAGTACATTGAGTGTTTTTATTAAGACACCATCTCTAGGAAGCTTGCCACTCAAAGCTTGAGACCCCATCTTAGCCTCATATCCACAGGTTGCGATGGATAAATTGTCGTCTAAATTATGCAAAAATGAAAATAGCACTAACATCTCATTTTAACAGATATATTTACCAAAATTACACAAAAATATCTTGAAAACCTAAACAGTAAATTTATTCAATAAAATCACCATTGGCTTCAACCACATTCTCCAGAAGACTTTGGAATATCCTGCAAATATTCTGGACAGTCGTCTTATTTAAGTTGGTGAATGTTGCCATAATCCTTGCTTTCAGTTCATCTTTAGTGTTACAAGGAGTTTTGTTCCACACATAATAATCAAGGAGGTTGCCATCTGGGAAGTTAGGTGGCCAGATGTAAGGGGTGATGTGGTCGCAGAAATTGTCTGACAGCCATGACTAGGTTCTCCTGCTTGTGTGGCATGGTGCAGAATCCTGTTGCCAGACATAGGGTCTTCCAGCAACCACCCTCTTGACCCAGGGCAACACTACCTCCTCAAGGCACTCAATGTAAACCTCTGTGTTGAGTCTGAGGCCCTGTGGGAAGATGAATGAAAACACAATGTCACCATCACTAGTAATCACTCCAAACACATTAATAATCACCATTAGACTCATCTGATTCATTCGGAATCTTCTGCACTATCCTCAAATTGACAGCCAAACACACTGAAATGTTCATATTGTGGCTTCTGGTGCAAATGCCAAGTAGTACAGCATGGTGTTTCCAAATTTCTGGCAGAGTGAATTGCATCATGGTGCTCTTTTTCTCACAGTGCCAAACTGACCTTACTATACTGTGCAGTCAACAAAATCAACAACAAACAATGTGCATACATGAAATTAAAAATATTAAATGGCAACAATTTACCCATCACACCCTCTGTGTGTGTGTGTGTGTGTGTATATATATATATATATATATATATATATATATATATATGTCATCTGCCTCTAATTCCTTCTTGCATATATACAGGTATATGTATATATATATATATTTTTTTTTTTCCACCTATTCTTATTGTACATTTCTCTGTTTTAATTTTGAATCTCCCATGGAAGCCTGATGAGCGGGAGTGAAACCGGTTGCTTCCCCACCCCCCTTGTTGTTGAGTTTTTTTTTTTTTATTATTTAATATTGTTTTAATATGTCTTGTAATATTAAATTTTACACTTTTATTTCGATCATTAAATTTTGTACCTACAAAAATCTTTTTTTATATATATATATATACAAATAAATTGCTGATACCTCCTGAAGATTGTACAGGGCAAGTGCTAAAAGGGCCATCTACAAAACTCTGGAGTTGGGATGCTGAATATTGTATCAATCAGTTAATTGATAAACTTTATATTTGTATTAATCCTACATATATATGTTAATGCATTAATATATTAACTATTACCTGCTATTAGCACATTGCTTTCAACTGAATTGAGCTCTCCAAGCCACTGGCGTATTTTGTATACAAAAATGTTAAAATTTCCCTTTTTTTCTGCTGTGCAACGATAGCCTAGGCTTGAAGCAATCAGACGTGTAGCCACAATGAAAAAATGTGATACAGTGAAACAGTCTGTCTGTGGATGACATATAGTCACCTCCAAAAGCATTGGAATGGCATAGCTAATTCTTTTGTTTTTGTTGTTCACTGAAGACATTTAGGTTTAAGATCAGAAAGATGAATATGAGTTTAGAAGAGTTTAGAATTTTAACTTTTATTTCCTTGTATTTACATTTAGATGTGTTAAACAGCTTAGGAGATATCACCTTTTGCATCAGATCACCCCATTTTTAGGTGAGCAAAAGTAAATGAACAGATAGTCTTAAAGTAAATAACATTTTAATATTAGATGGCATAATCTGTGTTTGCAATAACTGCATCAAGTCTGTAACTAATTGACCAATTTGTGATGTTTTTTCAGACTTTTAACACAGCCACTTTTAGTTTTTTTTTTTTTGTTTTGTTTTTTTTTTTGGAGGTGGGGGTCTTCTTTCTGTCTCCTCTTCAGGAGATGAAATGCATGTTCTATTGGTGATTGAGTTGGTCAGTCTAAAACTCTCCACTTTTTACCTCTGATAAAGTCCTTTGTTGTGCTGGTAGCATGTTTTGGGTTATTGTCCTGCTGCGAGATAAACTTTCTGCTGATTAATTTGGATGCATTTCACTGTAAATTGGTAGATAAAATGTTTCTGTAAACTATGAATTCATTCTGCTGCTACTGTCATGATTTGCATCACCAATAAATATGAATGAGCTTGTTCCAGAAGCAACCATACAAGCCCAAGCCAAGACAATGCCACCACCATGTGTGCTTTGGATCATAAGCAGATCTTTTCTTTCTTCACACTTTGGCCTTTCCATCACTTTAGTAGAGATTAATCTTGGTTCCATCAGTCTATAAAACTTTCTTCCAGAATTTTTGCCACTCATCTCTGTACTTCCTAGTAAATTCCACTCTGGCTTTCCAATTCTTACTTCTGATAAGTGCTTTGAATCTCTTGGTATGGCCTCTATATTTCTGCTCTCAGTCTTCTTCAAACAGTCGATTGTGAAACTTTCACCCCTGCACTGGAGGTTGTTGGTGATGTCACTGTTGCTTTTGGTTTTTTTCATCACAGCTCTCACTGTTTCTGTCAACAACTGCTGTTGTTTTCCTTGTCTGTCCTGTCCTATGTCCTGTCCTATGTCTGTTTCTCAGTACACCAGTAGTTTCTTTCATTTTCAGGTTGCTCCAAATTGTTGTGTTGGCTATGCCCATTGCCTCCGATTGATTTTCCTTTTTTCTTAGCTTCAAAATGGCTTGCTTTTTCCCCATAGACAGCTCTCTCTTCATGTTGATTTGTCCTTTTTAACAAGAAATGCAGTCTTTACAAGTGAAAGTCAAGACTAAAATCAAGAGTAGTCATTCAGAGCTATTTAATGTTTAAACAATCAATCTAAAAGGCAATCCTGGACAACAAGAATCTCCTGTCAGTCACATGTTCCATTAGTTTTGCTCACTTTAAAAATGGGTCGGTTCAAACAAAAGGTGGTATGTCCTAAATTGTTTAACACATCTAAATGTAAATACCAGGAAATAAAAACTGAAATTCTGAACTTTGTCTTGTATTCATCTTTTGATCTTAAACTCAAATGTCTTCAGTGAACAACAAAAACAAAGGAATTGACCTTACTGTTCCAATACTTTTGCATGTGACTATACACACACACACATGATGGCCATTGGCTTCTATAAGAAGCTCATCCACTCTTTGGCAGATTTTGTTTTTTTGCATCCATTTTTTCTTATGAATGATGAACAGGGTTATGGTTAAAAATTTCAGTTTTCATTTTGTCTGAGCAAAGTATATTGTACCAAAAATTATTATTATTATGTATTAATTTGTTATGTTCACTTCATCCGAGAATCTTGGTGCCTTTTGTTCAACAAAAATGTTTTTATAGGCAGAATCACTCAGCCCATCATATCTGAAGCCCTTATAAGATGAAGTAAAATATGTCTGAGAAAAAAGATCTTCCAGGAAGCTATAATATATCTCAGGTTAATCTTAAACATTACATATTATTTGTAATTAATTTTATCTGTCAACTTTTAAGTTAAAAAACGTGAATAGGAATATAACACCAACATTCATCTTATTAAGAAGTAGAAAACAAAGTGACACAAGTCCATGTGTCCAAATATATTTATAACTGATTTTGAACAACACAAAACAAATTCACTAAGATTTTAGAATTTATTCTGAACTGTAATATGTAGGCTAGGTCTAGTTCAAAGGCAGTGATTTTAGAAATTGGCTGGAAAAAGCCAGTGTCAAGGTTACACTGCTAGATTGCATTTCTTAGGTGTGTACTTTACATACTCTGATTGACAATACTGACAAGCCATAAGTGATACATTCTATGACAGAGGATGAGGGTGGGGGGGCATATAAAATTTGATTGCAAACTGTAATTTGGACATGCCTGCTGTAGAGTATGGGATTTTAAATCATTCCAGTGCAGGTCATTACGAGGGTATGCCAAAATATGACCAAATGACTAAACATCAGAATTTATTTTGAAATTCTTTCTTGGTTCTGATGAGAACTTCTTGTTATAGTTCTTCTATTAACCAAATTTCCAAATTCTCTTAAATAATCTTGTATCTCCTTTCCTGTACCATTGGATTTGCTTCATCTTAGTATTTTCTGAGTTGCTTCAGAATAAATTTTCTGTGCAGTACTAGTTGAAGAGAGGCTTTTTTTTATTGTGCCAAACCTTTTCTAATAATGGAACTTAGAAGGATATTTAACATTTTGACCCTGTTGCTGAAACCTTCCTTCATTCTTTGGTTTATGTAAGAGTTTCTTTACTTTAACCATGACAGCCTTGTTGCAAAAAGAAGTGAATGAGATGATATCATATTCTAGTACAGCATTCCTTGAAATTTCCAAAAGCTTTTATGCAATGGCAGAAAGATCTAGAACTGCATTCTTTTTTTCTCCCACTTTTACTTTCATTTATATTTTTTTTCTGCATTGCATTCTTTTGGAAATATGCATATTTTTTTCTTGTTAATTTTATATCAAAATATATCACTTGTGTAAATTTAAACTAAATGTAAGCATTGGAAGTATATTAAATATTTTTAAAATGTCTAAATACTCCCTCCCACCCACTGTACAGACTATATGAATACATATGTTTTGTATATGTGGATGCTTATTTATTCTATTAAATGTTTTGATGCTGTTTGTGTTTTTATTTCACAGAAGTTTTTCAAACCTGGAATCGAAAACATTCGTTTCAACAATGGATCTAATGCTGTGAGTGATGAGCATATGCATTCTGTTTGTCAAAAAATCCTAGAAGAGGTATGTATAAGTTATTAACATTACTGTTCTTGTATAACAAAAGACAAAACTCTTATGTTAGAAAAATTACTCCATTACTAAAACATTGTTTTTCAATTTGCTAATCTTAGAGCTGTATCAAACAACTATGGTCTAACAAGGAATCTGTTTTTTTTTTCTTTTTTGCTATACACTAAGCAAAGTTTAGCAAATATCTAATACTATGATTAAAACTGTGTGTTTGTGTAATATATATATATATATATATATATATATATATATATATATATGTGTGTGTGTGTGAGGTACTACACAAAGATTAGTAAACTTAAAGCATGAAATAGCTTTCTGAAAGAATGAAAAAAAATGATAGAAAATAAGATTCTTTGAGGGATGTGTGAAACTTATGGTCAAATTGATAGATTGAACAGTTGGTTTGTTTTCCTCAATTTTTGGTGGTACTGCCATTTTTGTCAAACACACTTCTCCAAATCTGACCAAAGATCAGACATTTTTTACAATAAATATTTGAAAAAGTGCTTAAGTTTAGTTTTATAAGACATTAAGTATTACTGATTTTTCTGGGGCAAGATGTTTCTTATTTTGTTTATTATCTTTAATTTTAGGCTAAGAAGATGTACTCAACAGAAAAACGAAGCATTACACCATTGCGAGATATTGCTGATAATGCTTCAGATTCAGGCAGTACCAGTGGCAAACGGGTAAGTTATTATTTTCTTCTTTTACTTATTTTTTGCCTTCTTTCATAATCAAAATTACTATGGGTTCTCTTTATTCATCTGGCAATTTCTTTGTTTTAGAACCTGAAAGTAACTAGTCAACTGGACAATTCTGTATATTCCAAATATAACTTTCTAGTCACACACTCACTTATATGTATGCATAAAGGTATACATATCTACAGTTTATAAATGTGTGAATGAATGTATATCCATTTTTTCTTTACCTATAAATTATAGAGCCACATATATTTATACGATTATTAATTAGTCCTCAAGGATGATTCCTACATTTTGTTTCTTCTGAAAGTAATTACTTCCAATTTTTCATTGAACAGATACTACACATTAATCATAGACAAAAGACCAAGAAGAGTATTTTGTGCTGCACTTTTAAGGTAACTGATACAAAGAAGCAGGTCTCTCTTTCTCTCTGACTGAGGTTATTCCCAATTCATTTTAAGGATTTTATTTGGTTAATTTTCTCATTTTGATTTAAACGCCATTACTATAAAACTATCCTGCTGATTCCAATGAGTCCAAATCTTCAGTCTTTAATTAGGAAACATGAAGGAAAATGAGCTTTAGTAGTTTCAAATTTTGTCTTTTTATTTTCAAAGAAAAAGGTTTTAGAGAAATTGGGAGACATTGCAAATTGCAGGAGGGATTTTTGCTCTCTTTACTCGGATATGCCTCTAGTTTTATTTATTTTACTGATTTCATTTACTGATGACTTCACTTCTCTAAACAATTTTTTAATGTGGCTCTATGAGGAGATGCTGGAAAGTTCTTGGCTTGATTCATTTTTCTGAATCAGTATTTTTATGTTTGGTCATTAAAATACTGTTTATTAGGAAGTGGGTAGAGCTAAGAACCTTTCACTACCCCTTTATACAATGAACTGAATTCATCAACTGAAATTTCATCATAGAATCTGTATTGAAATCAATTTACTGAACCTATGTGAATAAATATAAAAATATAAACCAAGCAACAATATATATTATTGTTCAACTGCTGAAATTGACTTGTAGATTTTTTAGTCATTTCAATCATCTTCATCTCAATTTAAAGCTACATTTACTTGGTAATGACAATGATGGTGTTTTTAACTCTTGCTATCTAATGATTATCTACATGAATAAAAATATATTGGTGTGTTAGTTGCAACTGTTTTTGACTGTTTGCAGAATACTAATCGGAAAAGACGAATGTCAGAGACAGATTTAGATGTCGGTCTTCCAGTACAAAAACGACGAGTGAGTTTAATTTTTATTCATTTTCATTCATTTTAAATTGAGAAAATAGAATAATTTTCCAATCTTTAAAATATTGGTTGATATGTTTGTCCTTTCATTAAGCCATTACTTAATGTTACAGAACTCCTTGTCAATGTTCAGTAATTTCTATCAGTATTTGCAGACTTAAAATTTACTAATATTAACAAGGCCAAATCTCCAGGTTAATTGGGTGAGAAGTTAATGTTCTACTAAATCATAAGGGTTTGTCTCTATAAAATCTGCATCCTGGTTTGTATGCCAGCCTCTGGTGTTAGAAAATATCATATCCTATGTTCACTATGTGCAAGCAATGGACTCACCCCAGTTGGCTATTTAACATGTAACTCTTATTTTCTTTTGGTAGCTGAGTTTCATTTAGTTGAATAAATCTTAGCACTTTTACTGTCATCCTGAGCTCTGTTTACTCTTACAATTACTACAATTTATTCAACTAAATGTGTAGATAAAATCTAGCATGGAAACAGCATGGAAGCCAAAATGCTTGAATGTCAAAACTTGTTCACCAACAACTGCCAGAAACTATTGCCATTGGTAAACTATCCTACTAAACTATATAGACGATTATCAGGAAAGAGTACCAAACAAATACCGGGCTCTCTTGAGTTGTATAAGTATCAGTGTATTTGACTATATCGAAGGATGTGCAGACTTCGATGTGGCTATAAGAAAATTGGATGCTTTATTTATTAAAACACCCAACAAGGTGTTCACAAGACGGTAGAAGCCAGGAGAGTCTCTTGACGAATTTTTCAGAGAACTAGAAAAGCTGAAAAGAAACTGCAATTTCAAAGATCATACTACTGCTGAGGAATGCAGTAATGAAGCTATGAGAGACGCCTTCATTTCAGGCTTAAGTTTGTATTCCATATGGCAGCGTCTCTTAGAAAATAAAACTCTCCATCTACAAACAGCTTACACTCAAGCATCTGCACTGGACTTAACACAAAGAAATAATGACATATACTGCCCTGGAAGCACAAATGGCAGCAATAGTCGACTCCCCCCACCAAAAAAAAGGTACAGTCAAACCAGCAGTAGCCACAACTTATCAAACCAAACATAAATGCTTTTTTGTGGATTGGCCTACCATTTGTGGGACTGTTGTCCCATTCATGGAGCTACTTGTTAAAAATGCTCAAAGGAAGGACACTATGCTTGTACATGTCAGTCCAAATCTTCATTAGCAGCACTGGCTGGTCCTCATATACTGACCACACTTGCTAACATACCACAGGAACTCTCTCCCGCTGCAACGCATGTAGTACTTAAAAAAAACTCTACTTGATTCCTGTAGCATTGATAGTTTTATCAGCGAAAGAGTCATGTGAGAACTTGGAAGTTGACCCATCCAGTAAGGGTATCATCATGGCCCAGAAGACTTTAAACACTAACTCAAGGGGCTATGTAGTTGTAAATCTTACCCTTTGCCTTAATGGTCAGTCATATGTTACCACTCGTCTAGGTGTTTTGAAAGATTTATGTTCTGATGTGATACTTGGTCAAGATTTTCTGTGTCAGCATCAGGAAACGACGTTCAAATATGGTGGACCCCTGCCTGAATTAAATGTGTACAGTAGTCATAAGGTTTGTACATTAAACATGGCAGAGATAGAAAATCCTTCACTATTTCCTAATTTATTACCAAATTGTAAACCTATGGTCATCAAGTTGAGGCATTTTAACAAAGAAGATCATTCCTTCAACAATAAAGAAATTTGGAACCTGTTTTCTGAAGGTATAATCGAAGAAAGTGTTTCTCCATGGTGAGCCCAGTTGGTAGTGGTAAAGGACCCCACTCACTGTCATAAAAAACGAATGTGTGTAGATTACTTGCAAACAATAAATCTATATACAGAACTGGACACTTATCCTCTACTAAGAATTGATAAAATGATCAATGACCTTACTAGATACAGCATTTTTTTCTACATTCGATTTCAAAAGTGTCTACCACCAAGTGTCGCTTAAAGTATCTGATAGAAAATACACTGCTTTTGAGGCAAATGGTTGGTTTTTCTAGTTCTGCAGAATTCTGTTTGGGGTCAAAAACTCAGCTGCTTCATTCCAAAGAACAAGAGCTATAGACAAAATAATAAAGGAAGAAAATCTATGCGGTGCTTCCCTTAAATTGATGACATTACTATTGCAGGATGCACACAGAACACAACCAAAATGTGAAAAAGTTCCTGGAGGTGGTGGAGAAAGCCAAAATTACCTTCAATAATTCAAAATCTTTGACTTTGGTACCTTCTATCAATGTTTTAGGATACCATGTCAGTGGTGGAATCATTAACCCCAACCCAGAAAGACTTTACCCTTAAAAGAACTACCACCTCCAGAAAATCCAAATCAGTAAAAAGGGTGCTGGGCATGTTCGCGTATTATGTGAAATGGATACATAATTTTTCTTATAAAATTCAAACTTTAATAAAAAATAAAAAATTCCCACTTGAAAAAAAGCAGTCATTTTGATCAATTAAAAAACTGATGGAGGCCACACTGAAACCAATAGACAAAAGTTTACCTTTCAAGGTGGCATGTGATGCATCAGATGTGGCTATTTCCGCAGCCCTTAACCAAAGTGGACACCTAGTAGTGTTCATGTCAAAAAAACTACAGGGAAGTGAATCAAAGTATAACATAACAGAGAAGGAGTCCATGGCAACTATTGAGGTGGTTTGGAATTGAAATCACTATTTGTCACCACAACATTTTACCCTAATTACTGACCAGAGATCAGTGGCCTTCATGTTTAACAACGAAAAGCATACAATGCCAAGATTCAAGAATGGCGGTTAGAACTTTCAGCTTTCGACTACATGATAAAATACCACCCTAGCAAGGAGAACGTAGTTCCCAATGCACTTAGCCAAGCTTACATTTGTTCAACCATTACCGGTCCTGCCTTTACCGACATTCAGAATGGGCTATGCCACCTGGGAGTTACTAGACTCTTACATTTTATTAGAGGGAAAAATCTTTTTTCTATGGAGGAGGTAAAAAGGTGTGTGCTTCTTGCAGAATCTGTGAGGAAATTAAACCTTGTTTCTATAACTTGCCAAAAAATGCTCTTATCAAGCCAACAAGACCCATGGAATGACTAAGTATTTACTTTAAGGGACCCATGCCTTCTGCCACATGCAACACATATTTACTGGTAGTAATTGACGAATACTCATGGTTTCCATTCAGCTTCCCATGTCAAAACATGCACACTACCTCAGTAATCAAATCCTTAATTCTTTTGTTCAGCTTAGCTGGAACGCCTGCCTACATACGCTCTGGTAGAGTCTAAGGAACTGAGAGACTACCTCTCTCAAAATGGGGTCACAACAAGTAAAACCACTCCATATCATCCAACTGGGAATGCACAGGTTGAACGATTTAATGGCATTATATGGAAGGCAATTCAGTTAGCTGCTAAATCATGAAACATAGCTGAGAAGTACTGGGAATTGGTGCTTCCCAAAGTTCTGCATTCTGTAAGATCATTGCTATGTACTTCTACAAATACAGCCACACATAAGCGTTTCTTTGCATTCCCTCATTGTTCATCACACGGGAGTTCTCTCCTATCCTGGCTAATGTCACCAGGTCCCATATTATTAATGAGGTTCATAAGAAATAGTAAAACTGACCCTTATGTGGACTAAGTCAAACTCTTAGAAATTAATCCGACTTATGCCAATATAAAGTATCCAGATGAAAGGGAGTCTACTGTATCTGTTTGTGATTTAGCACCCTGCTCAGAAGCAAAGTTAACTCCTGAGTCCCCTTACTATGGAACAAAAGGAGTACCCTGGGTGTCCCCATGCCAGAGGAGGACACACCGTATAATGGAGATCATGCTGGGGTCCAACAGGTCAGGAGATCCAAACAGATGACAAGACCCCCAGATTGTTATGGATGGTAATGCTACATTTTTCTAGGAACAAAGAATGTGGTAGTAGTAGTAGTAGTATCCTATGTTCCCTATGTACAAGCAATGGACTTGCCTCAGTTGGCTATTTTTGTAACTCTTATTTTCCTTTTGTAGCTAAGTTTCGTTAAATTAAATAAAGCTTAGCACTTTTACTGTTGTCCTGAGTTCTGTTTACTCTTACAATTACTACAGTTACTAGAGGTATTATTGATAAACATGCTTTAATTTGTCATATACAAACAAATGCAGTGTTTTATAGTGACTTTGTTTTACCTACACTGAGCTCACTAATTCTGATTGGACCCATGTTTGTCATTCACATTATTGTTTGATCAGATTATCATCATCCTTTTTGAAGGACCATATACAAAACTAGGAGGGAAATGAACATTAAAGAACATCAAGATTATCTACAGCATAATTTACTCTTTTATTTCAAGACAGAAGCAACAATGTTCTTTAGAATCTCTTCCCTTTGTCATAATGAAAACCTATGTAATTTATAAGAAGAATGAAAACGTTATTATTTTTTTTTTTTTGAGATGTGCAAGATGGCATAACTGTTACTGACACTTCTAATAATTAAAAAAATAAATTTCTTCAAAACTTTGTTAATTTCCTTTTTGTAGAAGAAAGGCCGACCTCCTCTTCATGCTTCTGGGTAAGTATCTTTGTATCCGTAAATAATGAATTTATTAAAAGTCACTTAATTTCATTATCTAATAATTACTTTAATTTGCTGATATTAATCCTTCATCTGTAACTAAAATGTCCATAAACATGTTTTATCTCTATACTTTAAACTTCAGTTAGTTCTCAGAAACAACTGTATGCTCCAAATACACTGTTTAACTTTATATTTTAACAGAAATAATTTGGATTTTAATTTTTATCTAAAATGATGTAAAACCAAAAAGGATTAATCCAGAGTAATTCATTTTATTAATGACACTGTAAGTCCATAAAATATGTCATTATAGCTTTAAACATGATCAGTCTTTTCTCTTTGCCTGATAAAAAAAACTTTTTAAAATATAGAATTTATAAAGATGTTTAGGTTTATATATATATATATATATATATATATATATATATTCTGATCTTCCTACTAGTTTATACTAACTTGAAGAATATACACTTGACTACTATTATTAATAGTGATTTGACTCTTAAATAACCTTGAATTAATGTCTTCATAATACTTGGAAAATTGTTCTTTGTTACTTTTTAATTTTTTTTTAGACGAGTCACTCCATCAAAGACCATTAAACAAAATGAACCTGTAAAAAGGGAAGGACCAAATGTAAGTGTATTTATTTCACTATTTTTCAGTTTCTGACTCCTTTTCATGTAGTCTAGCCTGACTTTGCCAATAAAACAATAACCCATGTTTTATAATAATGAATGTACAGTTATGTGTCCACAAGATGACTGAATTGATTGTAACTGAGTTTTCTATATCATTTTGTATTGACCAAACTTTTACAATAAAGACTTTTATCAAATTTGATTATACTATAGACAAAAACGTTCTGAGAGAGACTTAAAATTATATAATCATCAGTATTTGAGCATTTGTTACATAATTGTTTTTATTTATTATCAGTGTTGTAGAACAAAAATGGTAAATTGAAGAAATGTCTCTGGAACGGATTTTGGATAGTTATGTTTACTTCTTTGGATGAAGCTAATAATTGTTGCTAGAAGTTATTTATATTTTAACTGTATACAGTTGGGGATCAGTTTAAATTAAGATAAAGTGAAAAAAAAATGATTTTCTATTTGATTTGTCAATATTTTTAATCGATGGGAATATTATAGGGAAAAATTCCAATGACATATCATCCAAATATGGGATGTGTGGGTAGCATAAGGGTTATAAGCATAGCATTACTGAATTTACTATTAACAGCTTATAAGAAGAAAATGCTGGCTCCTGCATTACAAAACCTCATATTTATCTTGCTAACCAATCTTTACGTGATTGCTTTTAGCTTTATGTATATAGAGATATGTATGACATTTTTGTTTATATCTTCAGTGGGATCCTGAACGTTTGATTCCAGAAACTTTATTTGTGATGGGAGCCAGAGCTAATAAGTAAGTCTTTTCCATAAACAACCTTATTTCCAATTATTTAATATTCTTCCTTTGTACTTTACTCCCCTTCACATCAAGAAGCTGTGTGACATGATAACAGTAAGAATATTTCCTTTTGAATTTCTTTCTATGAAAAATTTAGATATACAACCTCATGTTAGCTCATGAGGATTAACCAAGCGTTGTATGTCAGTGAAAACAAAATTAAAGCTGTGTGTACCCTGGGAAAACTTGAAAATCATATCTAAACAAGATTGTTAGGAAGGTTTAGATCAAAAAGAATGTCAAAAAGAAAAATAGTTCATGAAAATTAGGAGAAGCAAAGAAAGAACTAAAAAAGTGTATACGAAAATTGTCATTGAAAAAGTACACTCCATTGTAAATGTTGTAGAACATTAAAAAAAACTAGACTTGCATGATCACTTAATGATCACATTAGAGTTAATAATCCAGAAGATTGAGTCAAAAAATGGAAAGACCACTTTAATTTATTAGGCCTGCCACTAACATTTCAATAAAATCAATAGTTAAAGTATTAATGTATCTCTGCTCATCAATATCAAAACCATGGCAAAAGGAAGAGTTGGCTAAATGAATCAAAGACTTTAAAAAATAAAGCAGAGGAACTTAACAATTTAGTAAATGAAGTTTGAAAAAGTGATATCTGCTTGAAGTGTGCAATAAAACATTTAACAGATCAGATATATAGGTTTAAAATGTCATAGTGTCTATACCAAGTGGATCTTTACAGATAGCTACTGTGGAATTACATTGTCACAGCAACAAAAATCTACAAAATACTGCTAGACAAAATAAGAGACCCTAGCTGGATACTTTAATTAAAGACAATTAAAATGGCTTTTGTGCTGACAAGCTAACATTATTGCAGATTCTCACACTGAGGAGACTTAAGGAGTAAAAGCAAAATAACTTCCTGCAGTATTCACTTTTGTTGACTTCGGTAAAGCATTCAACTCAATAAACAGAGAGACACTAATGAAAATCCTGAAGGTATACAAAATACCAGCAAAGCTAGTGGATGCTATGAGCATATTATACCAAAGCTCAAGTATTAACTCCAGATAGAGATACAGAATTCTTTAAAATACTTGCAGGTGTTGTCAAAGTTGACACATTTGCACCATTCTTGTTAATCATGACTCTGGATGATGCACTTTGAGAAACATCAAAAAAGACACACACCTTCACCTTAACAAGTCAGAGCTCCCACCACCTAGCTACATACAACACAGATGATCTTGCAAATCTCTAACATCTCCTTTTCTGACTAGAAGTTGAAGCAGATACAGTAGGGTCACAAGTAAATTTCAAGAACACAGTATATATCATGCAATCAAGCAGAATGTGAAATTATCTTGTTAGAAGGAAATAAGATGAACGATTTCAAGTACCTTACTTTGGAACATAGATTTATTCAATTGAAAAGGACAGAGAGATCAGAGTTGGGTAAACTTGAACTGCATGAGACAGAATGGAAGGGGTATGGAGTTTGGGTTTCCAAACCCATCTGATAATTGATTCCTTTTGAGCTATAGTAGAAGGTATGCTGAAGGCTGGACTTTGGCAAAGAAAATGAATGATAAGCTTGATAAAACATCTGCAAGGATGCTTAGAAATATACTTAGTGTATCATGGAAAGAACACAAAACAAATGAAGTTCTACAGAAGGCTGCAGAGTGTGACAATCATTGTGGTTTGGAGGACTATGATTTATTTGGTACATTTGTAGGAGGAAGGAAAAGCTGGTACTCTTGTGGAAGCCTGGGCACAGAAAATGGAAGAGAGGGAGACAACTAAAACATGGATTAGTTGGGAAGCAATACCTATTTGAAGTGTGAAGAGTTGGTGAGGGCCATGCAAAACAGGAATGGGAGGAACTGGTCGGTGGTATTTCAAGTGTTCAAAATAGAAGAAAAAGATTCCTTTGAAATATTCAAACTCCATTTTGTTGTCTAATCAAAATGCAAGTAAAGCTGTTCATTAATAGTTATGGATGGAACAGTATGTGAAATTTATTTTGGAAAATAGAGATTGCATATTATTTTTCTTTCTTTAAAAAGTTTTTCAAATTTTAGTAAAAAAATGTACTTTCAGGATTTTAAATCCAGGCTGTAGCTGTTTTTCTTATACTATTATTCACTTTAACAAATATATTGTAGCTTTGATAAACATGTTTACTTAAAATAGTAATATGCTTATCTTTAATCAACTAGAAAAGTAAATAATAAAATGAAATCTTGGAAGTAGACTAGATAGATTGCTGTATGCCCAAATGATATGCTATATTGAAGTTTAACAAGTATTCTCATTAAAAAAAAATGACCAAATACTAGACTTTCAATAAGTAAAAGGTTTAATATAACTCAAATAATCAACTAATTTACTTTTCAGAGCTCTTGGGTTTGGTGCTACTCGAGGTCGGCTGTACATAAAACATCCAGAATTATTTAAGGTGAAGCATTTTTAATTTTATTTCATCTGAAGTTTATGAATATTTTGTTCAGTACATATAAGTTATTTGAACTAAATAATTAATTAAACTATATTTACTTTATTTTCACACTTACTTTAAAACCTTTTTATACTTAATGAATTTCACAATTTAAAAAAAAAGGAATTAAAATGATGCTGTAATAAAAATGATTTTTACAATTCATCAGCCAATCTCTGAACTTTTTACAGTATTCTGGTGATCAAGATGACAAGCAGTGGTTATTTGACCATCATCACATGCCGGCAATTGGTGGGAAGGCTTATATTTTATTATATAATGACATTCAGAGTTTGGCTAATACTGAGGAATATCGGTAAGTTAGTTAAAATGTACATCATTAACAGTGAATTATTAGTATTTTGTAAATGTTAAAAAGAAAAATGTGTATGTTTAAAAGCATTAAGTTGATTAAAGAAATTTCTTAGTGTTACAAAGTTTTGTCTCAGGTTGTCATTTTTCAAGGATGTGCAAGTGGTGTAATTGATAATGGCTTTAAATAAGAAATCCGGGTGCAGAGTTCAAATCCCAGTCAGGTTTATTACATTAACTTCTACACAAATATCCTTGGGAAATGTATGAATATCTTATCCCCAGCTATGGATTAAATAATAGGCCTCTTGGAAAAATCATTGTTATTCTCAACAAATTGTTAATGCAATATTCACTTGCAAAAAAGTATTATTCTTACAATCCAAAATATGTTTTAGCTTTAAATAAGCCACAAAGGGTTGATAAGTCATAAAAAACAAATCGATCAATCAATGTCATTTTCTGACAGTAATTCCTGGAATTCACTTTTTCAATAATTACCCTATTTATGAGATTCTGTTCCTGTTCTCTGACATTGTTTACTTTATTTGAATATTCTAAGAAAAAAAATGAGAATATTTATTCAAATAAGTTTTATGGATAGTGAGCAGGTTTGGCTTTGCTAGTGTCTGACCTAACAACCTTGCTATGTCATCAATCACATACCTATTGTCCATCCTAATGGAATTATTGATACCCTTCTCCGGTTTAGAAGTGGTCCCACTACATTCATTGTGGTTGACACCCTAAGAAGTGATTTTGTTTTAACAATTTGTTCAAACTACCTTTAGGAACAACGGTTAGTGTGAATGAAAGAAAAAGAGACAATATTGAGTGATGTTACTTGGCATTTATTTCATCTCAATTTAAGTGATTTGCCTTTTTTCCATTCTAGCCTATTTTATAAAAGTGCTGGCTAGAAAAAGGTGAGAAAGATGGCAAAATTTGGTCAGATTTTCTATGTTTCTGTGCCTGAGATGAAGTTAAAATGAAAAATCATGCAACAGAGGTCCCCTTAGCATGTAACTAACAATTGCTTGTGTGTTCAAGAAAGTCTCCTATTAAATTTTCAAATGAAAGACAACTTTCATGAAACTTTATGTAATTAATCCTGACTTGGCAATTCGACTTCAGTCACTTTCTCACAGACATGATGTGGCTTCCCTCTGTCTTTTTTATGAATACTTTCATGACAACTGCTCTGATAAGTTTTTTTTCCCTGCTGCTCTGACTACATGAATTTAAGCATGCTACTAGATTGGCATCTAGGTCCCATTCTTTTACTGTAGAAATAGATAAATGTAACCACCACTTCTACTCCAACAGTTTCTTTTTTTGCACTTTCCGACAGTGGAACTTGATTCCATTTACTTACTTCTCTGTAAATTACAATCTTCAAAAATTTAAATGCAATCGCCCTCTTTTGTCATATTGAACCCTGTTCATCCTCAATTCCCCCTCTACCCTGTCTTTTCTCTCACTTTTACTCTCTGTAGCCCCCCTGTGTACTAGTTGCATCCCCCCTCCTTAGAGTGACATGATTTTTAAAAAATAAAAAAATTATGATTTTAATTCTGAATTTTCTTTATCAATCAGGATCGTTTGGTTCCTGCATATCCTTTCTGACTTGGTTTCTGGTTCTCAAAACAGTTCACCTTATTTACAGAGGACTTCAAAAAATTCTACCTATTACTAAATATATTCACTTTTACTGCCCTTTGAGAATAAATTTGTGGCAAACCCTACCACAAATTCCCCATTTTTGTTTATTAATTTCTTTATTTTTCTATCTATTTTCATGACTGCTAAGGGACTTTATGTGAGGGACTTTATTTTAATTTTTTTTTTTTTTTTTTTTTTTGTCCCAAAGTACATGCTACTTGCCTATGAATTCCTCTTATATAGCAGTTTTATCTTGCTGCATTAGTTTGTTATTGGCAAAGCAATCAAAGGATTTAAATTTCATTCTCAATTTCTATTTTTTAAGAAAAATTTATAATTTTAATCAGTTGTTTTTTTCTTTCTTAATTTTACAAGAGATTTGTTTTGTTAATCAAAAAACTCAAAATATTTATTCATGTTTGTTATATAAAAAAAAGAAAAAAAAAACAATTTCCATTCTTTTTTTTTATTTTCTAGAGACAACCCTAATGTGATCCTGGATGAATTGGTTTATTTCACAGTTCCTGATTGGATGATGCAAAAAATGAAAGCCTTAATGCAAACGATGCGCACAGATATTCCTAAAATAAAAAATCCAACTGTCAGCCATGCACAACATTCCAATGCTACAAACTCCACATTACCTACAGAAGCTCTTTCAGTCACAGAGGTAATATACACTTGAAGGATGCATTTTTATAAAAAGCTCAACTTATTTTCAAAATTTTTTCAAACATATATGTATAAGTACCTCCAAAGAAACACAATACCTAAATTTTAAAATGAATTTTAAAAAATGAAAAAATCTTTCTTAAAGACTTTTAATTTTAAGCTAATAGATTAAATTTAATATTTCCAATAAGCAAAATACTTTGCTATATTTCAGAACTAATCTAAATTGACTGGAAGGAGTTTTTTTTTAGTTTTTTTTTATAGCAATCTGTAAGTACAATGTAATACTCTTTAATAGAAAAAAATATTTCAAAAATAAAATATACTTTTCTGAAACATTATTTGAAGAATATTAGCTAATTTAAAGTTTAATTATACTGATTTGAAACAAATATTACTTAAAATATCGCAGAAATGCATTTTTTAACAAAGGTAGGTGTTTTCATTAGGTGTTGACAGATCTTTTGACAGCCGGAAATTTAACTTTTTATGTGGAGGACATATCTAAAATTTATTAATTTAAAGTGAACCCTTTTTTTATATAATTTTTTTACTACCCAATAATCATTAAAATTTAGAAAAATATTCTCTGTAATCTAATGTTTTATTGAATTTTAGGTACTTTGGCTTTAAATTGTTCAAAAATGTATGATATTTTCATTAGCAGCTAAAAATACCCTTAAATCTGTAAATTTCGTATACCATTCTAACCTTCAGAATGGAAACCAATTATTGCCTAATACTTGATTTCTTAGCAGCAGTTACACTTGAAAGTGAAAACAAATGTGGATCATATGTGTATTTGATATGCTGTCCAAGAACAAGAGGTTAAAGTAGGTTTTTATTTTGCACTATTAAGGAATTTTATAACATTTGTTGTATTCAATTATTGCAACTGATATTCCAAGCTGCTAACAGTAGTAGACTGTGAATGAAAATGTCTGGTGTTTTGTGCTTTTAACTGTCTTTGGTTGAGAGAACTTAGCTCATGTCTGAAATAGTTGTTCGTTCTTTTACCATCGATTTGTTTTCAAAGCCAGGATGATTTTGAATACATATTTTCAAAATAGGCAAATAGGCCTCTCCAATTGGAAGACTAGTGCAACAATGTTTCTATCCATATTATCCTTCACTCATTTGACCCTGTGTTGTAATCTGGTTATTGAATATTAATACACTATACCTGAAGATTCTTAAAAAAAGAAAAAAAAATCTTTTCTGTATAAACTATTTCTGCGTGATAAATGATGCCTATGCACTAACTGCATTAGAAAAATTTCCATTATTTGCAGTTAAGCTATAGAACTGCTGTATTTAAAATGTTAATTTACTAGCTGTTTGCTTAATTTATGATTTCTAAGCTAGGATTTAATAAACAATTATGTCAAAAATCATTAACTCAAATGATTACATATATAGTATCAGAATAAAAATCTACAGCAATTCACTGAAAATTATTTTACTATATAAATGCATTATATATCAAAACTTCCATTCATTTTAATGATTATTGGGTGACTCAGTAAATTCTGCAGTACAGAATGAAAAAATAGAACAATAATTACAGTTGTATTTTTGCTCTAATTAAATTTAAACCAAGTATATGTGGCTAGAATTCAAATTTTCTTAATATTCTCTGCTGACTTTACTACTACTTCACTATTCATCTCAATTATTTGTTGTTTTTTTTTTTTTTTTTTTTTTTTTTTTTTTTTTTTTTTCTTTTTTTTTTTTTTACATTAATAAACAAAAAATTTGAATAAGTGACAAGTTCTGCAAGTATTTATGTAAATTTTGTTTTTGAGTTTGGGTATTGAATCCATATATTTGGGAAAGAAGAAAGGGTTTGCCAATTGGGAATTTGGATAAGTGTAACTGACAAAACAATGTTATATGTATAATATATAAGAATTTATTATATAAATGCATTGCCCATGATTTTACTATAGAAATGCATTGAAAATCATAAAGAGAATTAGTAGTCGACCATTAATTATTGACAGGAGAGGCTGTTATATACCAAATGACGATTATGCTTTCTGTGGATATTGGGTAAATCTTTGAACAAACTGTTCCACTGTCTTTTATGTTGTAAATTTATCATTATTTTGATAATTCTTTACTCATCATCATCAGTTTAATTTGTATAAAAAATATCTTTATGCATTATTCACCATTACATGTTTTTTTCTGTTTTTATATATATATATATATATATATATATATATATATATATATTTAGAATTGTGTTATTTCTTTAAAATTTTTTCAGCAGAGCAATACAAGTTTAGCATTGTCATCAAAACTTCCATTCTCCACAATATATGATGATAAACCTGATAGTCAGGTAAAACCCAATATTTTTTCTTTTCCTGCTTGTCTTTTCCTTTTTGTTTATTTTTTTTCTTTTAATAAGTCACAATAATCTGTTTCAATGTAATATTGAATCAAGTGACTTTGCTAACCTGATAGTGTATCTGGTAGTACCTCACAGCATCTTCATTTATAGACTGACCATGACCTATTCCAAACGATGCTAGATGATTCGGTGAAGTGGGACAACTTTCCCCTGACCATCTTCATCCCAGATGGTCAATAAGAAAAGGTAATCCAGATCTACAATTATCAAATATCTACTTGAACTTTTCATGAAAGTTGGCTACTTATAAAGATTTTCTTTTTTTTTTCTTTTATTGAAGATCAATATTAAATTACTAAATATATTTATATAAAGCAATTTACCATATGGGCATCAAATGTTGTCATTGATCACAATATAAGAAAAGATTATATTTAAAGTTTGAGATTTTGATAGGTGAAAATTTTTTTTTTTTTAATTCAGGAACCATTTTAGTAGTATCTTATTTTTATTCTTCCTTTAAATTTTCTTTTGCTTTTTGTCTTTCATTAATTTGTACAGACTAATATCCTCATTTGCTTTGTTTTTGCTCAGGTCAATATTTTCATGTCACTATTTTCCTTAACTTTCATTACAATTTCTTTTATTCTTAGGCTTTTTGGTAGTGTTTTTTTAAAAACTAAAATGACTAGCCAAGATATTTAAAATAATTAAAAATATTTACAAGTTTTAATTTTTAAAATTTTATTTTAATTTACAATCTTTAATTTTTGGTAGCCAATATGAGGTGTATAAAGTTAGAGTTGATGTTCTCAAACCTTGCATCATACTTCTGTAAAATATGTAAATTCATGCTATGATTTTAATCTATTTATATATTTCATAGTAATTTGATGTACCAGAGTTTAAAAAAGATTGAAATAATTTAAATTGTACTTTTTGAAAACTGGCCTGTTTTCATTAGTTTATTTTGCTATTGTTGTTTAGTTATTTCAGCTCTTACTTTGTAGCCCAAATGTATGTAAATTCAATATGTTCTCTTAGTGGCTCTATTGCAACAAAAATAAGATAAGGATATTAGTCTGAATAAATTTATGATTGTTAATGAAGTTTCATGGTTATCAAGTCATATCTGCTTTGTGCTATTCATTTTTTTTTTTTTTTTAGTCTTTTATTATAAAAAAAATACTAAAACAAGATCCTCTATAAAATGAACCTTTTTGTCAATCATTGTTGTTAATTACTAATTCATTATTTTTTTTTGTAAGGCAAAATTATTCTAGCATCTTATTCAATGGTATTGTTTTTTGTGCTGCTATCATAGCTTTAAGCAATTATTTTACTCATTTTTCTTTTTTAATTAAATCAGTCAGCCATTACTTTTCATGAATAGTCAAAAAACATTTGCTGCTTAAATTTAGTGTGTCTTTTTTCTTCTTCTTCATTGTGAAACTAATCACTGTGTTTTCAACTTAAAAATGGATTATAATTTAACTTGCTTATTTGAAACTAACTACACTCAAATTATCTTGAAATATTTATCTTCTTTTTGCTACAATGTTAAGCCAATCTTTTGATGTGTTTAGAAAAGGTACTTAACAAGAATACATTACAGATTTAAAAGCAAATAAGATTATATTATTAGCAGGCTATAAAGACATTTTCTTTAGCTTAAATAGTCAGTATTATCAAACATAGATGCTAAATTATTTAGATCATAATTCAAATTGCAGCAAATATATTTTCAGTTAAATCTACAAAAACTTCATTTTTGAAAATTATAGAATAAGAACATTTTATTAAGACACTCAGATATTGACGTTTATGTAGAAAAAATTGAATAAAATTAATTTTACATTTTTATTGCAAATGTTTTTAGAAATTGATTGATACAGTTTAGAACAGTGCTTCTCAAACTATCTGATATGACGGACTGGCATTTTTTTCTCAATGTGTCACATACCTGTAATATTTCATGGTAATATTAATTTATACCGGAAATGAATATAATAAAAGTTGACTATTTTTTTTTTCTTCCATTTATTTTGCAAAATATAATTCAATATCAAAACATATAAAAAGTAATAAAAAAATAAGCTTCAAATGATTCCTTAGCATGGCCTGGGCACTGGTCCACAGACCACCATTTTGAGTAGCACTGGTTTAGAAAATAAACTAAAAATTCCCCTTACTATGTAATAACATGTTACAAAAGTGAATACAGTTTTGAACAATCAGTTTTCAAAGCAGTAAATCTCAGTTTAGAATAAAATTTATTAATTGAAATAAGAAACTTAAGAATCTATGCATTTTTGCCAACAATAAACAAGTTTATTTATTTAAGCGGCATAGAAATAGTCCTCTAACTGAATCATTCAAAGGCATTTTGAGTTGCTTGGTTGCTGATGATCATGCAGAAAATTATCAAGACACTTGAAGTGCTAGTTGATCAAAGAGAGGTCTGATGAGGTATTTTCATATCCCAGTTCATTCAATTTCTGTAGTGCCATTTGCAAGAAATGTGGTTTGGCATTATCATGGAGAAAAATTTTTCCTTTTCAATTGGCTAATATTGGACATAGATGTTGCAGTTTTTGGTGAATTTTGTCAATTTCTTGGCAATATTTCTTTGCTGTAATGGTTCTGCCAAATTGTAGTGGAATGATTTCATTTGCCAACCATCAAACAGTAAATAGTACTTTTTGATGCAGTTTTGCTTTGGGAAAGTGTTTTAGTGCTTCACCTCAGTTAAACCACTGCATGGAATGCTGCCATATATAATTAATTTCTCATCATGTCATGAAAAATGCAATTAAGATATGGCTTGATTTTGTTTTGCAAAAGAAGTGCAAAACAGACTTCATAACAGAATATTTTTTTTGTTCAGTTCCTGCAGCACTCATTTGTTGAACTTTTTGATTTTCAGTTTTTTGGTAAAAATTTTGAATAACTGTTGAATAATCAACATTAATTCTTCTGCAACCTTTTGAGTAATGTTGCTTGGATCTGTTTCAATAATTGCCCTCACTTGGTTGTCATCAATCTCAGGACATTTGCATTTCTCCTCGTCTTTAAGGCTCTAGTCTCCATTACGAAATTTTTGGAGCCATTGTTGTGCTGTATGTTCCATGACAATTCTGCGAACAAATTCTTGGTTGATGTCAGGAGCTGTTTTTGCTGCTTTACACTTTGGACTTGTGCAATAAAATAACTAAAATTTACTTTTCATCATTTTATACTTTGATGGCCTAAATTAAACTAGAATTAACAGTGAAATTTCCACTTTAATAAATTTTCATAAATGAACATAGTTAAATAAAATTTTATTCTAAAATAAGCATCATCATTTAACATAACAAAAACTGCAAATATTTTTACACCAACCTAATATATTCTATGCCAAAGTTACATTTGGAAATATAGTTTATTTAAATTACTATCATGAATTATAGAATGTTACTTCCAAATTTAATTAAAGACTCGTTTATTAGAATATAAAATACTAGGTAATGTACAAATTTGGAAATATTGTAGTGTTTTCCTTTACTGATGATAATTATGTTTTTCTCTAATCGACACAAAACTAGAGATAGCGATTTTCATGGGAAAATGTTTAATTAAAAGCAAACTAAATCTTGTGTGTCCTGTAATTGCTTGGATTGTAATTTTGATTTTTATGCTTGTGTTTGCATTTTCACATGTGCATGAAAATTTGGCTGTTTGCACCTTTTTGACAAGTTTTCAAAACCTGGAGTTGTATGGTGAATTTTACATAAAGAATTTGGACTCCAATAATAATTTAGCTGATGAGCACAAACTTACTCATGCCATAACCAGTTAAATATTTTACTTATATTCTAAATTCCTAAAATTTAATATTCATTAATCAGCTTTGTTAATTGCATTTGATTTTTTTTTTTTTTTAAATAGAATTACTTAAATTTTGTTTCAACATTATCTTTTAGTTTTCCTCTATAGTTATGGATAAAATATTGCATTACTTTCTTTTGTTATGTCCCTGAAAACTTATAAGTAAAATAAAAATAAAAAAATACTCTGATTGACACACACACACACACACACACACACACACACACACACACACACACGAATGTCTTGTCCTTAAATATAATTTTTGTAGAAAGTCAATCTTCTTTTCATTTTTATTTTTATACAAATTTATTTTATTCATTCTGCTCATCTGGTAGAGTCTGGTTTACCTCTCCATTATATGTTCTGTTGCATCTGTTATGTGTATTAGCAGTTTCTGTTATTTAAACTTAGTACTTTTATATATATATATATAGAGAGAGAGAGAGAGATTTTTTGCAGTACCTACTACAAAAGATCTATATATAAAAGAAAGTACTTATTTTCACAGACTTTTTACAGTTTGGTTAAAGGTGTCACTCCCACAAAAATTCTATGGGAGTATCCATCTAGTCAATTAAAATGGGTTTGTTTTAGAAAAAAGTGTTATGAGTATAGCTACTGACTGTTAGTATAAATATGAAAAAGTTAATCTCTAGAAATTAGTGATTAAATTTTAAAAAAGAAAGAAAAATATTGTGTGCAAAAATTTCCAGCATTTTATTTTTATTATTATTCAAAAGACTGGTTTATTACTGTGTATTCACTTTATAATTTAAAAAAAGAATGCTGGGAACTTTTGTACATTACTAATACAATGTGACTTGGTTTTAGTACAACAACTTAAAACTAATTCTCTTAAAGAAAATGCTTTGTTCTAGTATTAGTAAAATTATACAAGTAGTATGAATATATTTCACTAATAATCAAAGCATATTAGACTTGTCTTCTTTCTAGACAGTGGCAGCCAGTCTATGATGATGACAACTCTGAATTCCAAACTGTGGAGAAAACATTGAGAAACCACTCCACTATCTTTCTCAAGAAGTCATGGCAATTCACATGCATTAAAGAAAAAGAAGCTGTGGAGAACTGTGACCACTTATACTCTGAAGGAACAAGTCATTTAAGAAAAAATATTTTAATTCCCATTTATAATCTAAAAAATTTTTTGTTATATAAAAAAATGTTTAATATATCACCTGTGTGTGTGTGTGTATATATATATACTTTTTCCATCATTATTTTACATTTTAAATGTTCCAGTTGTTATATAAATTCAAATGCTGTGAGATACTACACTGACAATATCAGGTTTATTGCTGCTTTTAAACCTTTATTTTCTATTTCCCTCAGATGATGTAAATTAAACACTAAACAGAGAAATATATTATTTAGCTGGTGTTAGTTTCAGTGTGCATTAACATCTAATAAACATTTTTCATAATTGTGTGTATGTGTGTAAGCATTTTCTATAATCTGTTTCAATGAAAATTTTAACCTGACTAAATATAGATCAGTATAAACATTTATCTGATAACTTGATAGGATTGGAATAATTTTTGAAGTTTCAAACAACAAAAGGCTTTAAACTCATCACTCAGATTATTTTTTCTTTTCTAATAAAATATATAGATCCTGTATAAAAGCTGGATTTATTTGTAGCATACAAGAAATTATATTTATGCTGTTTCATATTTACATATATTTGCCAGAATTACAGATGTCGAAAATAAGATCTTTAGCAAATGGCTCAGTATGAAGGGAAAAAAAAAAACTTGTGCTTAAGTAATAAATATACAACTTAATCTGAAAGTTATGTCAGTTGGACACTTGGAGATTTTAAAAGACTGTGTTCTTTCTTATGAAAAAAGTGTCATTGTGTTTGCTGCCTGCACAGGTCAAATCCACTAAAAACATCAGATTCAGGAGATATTTATTGTAGATGACAACACAAAAAATTTTCCTTCATTCTAACTTTCACAAGTAGTCAGCAAAGAAGTTCTCTGACATGAGTAAATAAATAAATTATGCAATTATATTAAGATTAAAGAGCTGAAAGAACAATAAATACATTGAAATATTGTTTGTACAATACTATAACAAAGATATTAAGACAAAAAATACATTTAATTGTTCAATGTAATAACTTTTTTTAAAGTAAAAATGTGAAATTCAAAGAATTTTTTGCATCTTATTTCTTTGTACATTATTTCTATCATCAGAAATATTAGATGTGTGCAAATTTTTCATATTTTTTAATTTAACAAAGCAGTTTCCTACTATGTATTCCAGTCTCTAGTTTTCAAAAATAAAGTGGGTACTGGAAATATCCTAAAATAATATAAGAAAAACTTTGAGATTATAATAAAGAACAGTATGATTTGGTATGATATGAATCTTTTGTCATTAGATAAAATCAGAATTTTACTCTACTAATTACTATTGCATATATGAGAGTGTACTGAGGAGTTCTGACCTATTTCCAAAAATCTGACTAAATGACCAATTATCAGATTTTTTAAAACTTTTTCATCTCCATGTATGTGTGTATATATGAAATGTTATAATTTATCCCATTATTTATTTTGTTTTCAATCTTGTGTAAATTTCTGAGATAAAACATTTTAATTCTTCATGAGAGCAAAGTATTTGTAGCTAATGATATTTTTGCAATACGTGGGTGGGCTGAAAAGTTCATAGGCTTACTCTGAAGAAGTGATGCTAGAGTTGTGAAATCTTGCATGCATTAATTTAAACTGTTCTTATTAATAACTATTGTTTATTTCCAGGTAAACTGACATCTGACTGTTCAAATAAGACTATTCATCCTGTTAGCCAAAAAAGTTGCCAACAGCAGATATGACATCATCATCACTGTGATACTAATTCCTAGTCATGTTTTTTTTTTCATGTTGGGGAACAGATGATAGTCAAATCAGGAGAATAGGGAGGGTCATCAAACAGTTCAAAGATCTTTTGAATAATAAACAAATTGCCTTTTGAATACCAAAAAACTGAGGACATCACCTTCCCTGCAGATGAAACAATCATGGCTTTTGTTGATGGCGTTGAGGAGGGGTGTTTCCACAGGTGCAGGACAACTCAACAATTAATTATTTTTAATAAAGTAAACCATAAAGAAATTTATTTTTTAATAAAGTAAATTGATATATAAAAAATAAATCAAGAAAACACACTTGTTTTTTAATAAAGTAAATTGAAAAATGCAAAACAAAATGAAGCATTTTTTGTTTTTAATTATTTTTAAAAAAGTAAATTGTAATGTAATTGATTTTTAATAAATAAATTTCTTTACAGTTTACTTCATTAAAAATAATTAAAAACAAAAAACTGGTTCATATTTTACATAATGCCTTTTCAATTGCCTTATTTGAAGAAAAATATTCACTAATTAAGGTTTTATTTTTATTCAGTCATAGAAAAGTTGAGTTGTCTTGGTCCTGAGTTGTCCCAGCACTGTCAGCAGTGTTGAGTTGTCCCTTCCCAGTTTCCACTGCATGGATTATCTCTTTGTCTTTGGCTTAAAGTGATGAACCCATCACCTATCCTGAGTTAGGAAACATTCAAGGAAACCAGCTGGATCTGCCTCAAACAAGGTCAGATTTTCCTGTGATGTGATGTGATCAGACAGATGCACTTTTGAGCAGGTGTCAGAAAACATGGCACCCAACAAGCATTGGGTATTTGATTTATAGTTGATTGTGTGTCGTCCATCACCATGTGGTGAACACAATCCATGTGTTCCCTAGTGGTGGCAGTCACAGGGTCATCTTCAAGACTCTCCCTGGCCCTCTTAAATTCCACTTTTGCACTGTTGATAAAGCTAGGGTGTCATCCTCTAATGTAGCAATCATATCAGCATGAATGTCCTTGGAGCTAGCCCTTTTTTTCTGTAGAAAATGCCAAATTTTGTCCATTTTCAAGATAACTTGTTACTTTTAAAGTCCTTGAACAGTCAGATGTCCGTTTACCTGAAAAGAAACAATGCAATTATTAAGATTTGAAATTAATGCATGCAAGATTTCACAGCTTCAACAAACATCACTCCTTCATAGTCAGCCTTTGAACTTTTCAGCCACTCCTCTTATAATAAAAACTAGGTTATCATTTGCATCTAAGTTTTTAATGCACATCTGTGACTGCTATTTTCAGAGTTTAACAATTATCTTAACACATTTTGATTTTCCAATGAAATCTTTCAGGTTGTTTTTCTGTAACTGTGATCTCCTTATTTTTAAATTTGTTTGCCTGTAATATTGTGGTTCTATTATAATGGATCTGTGTTCTTTTGCTGGTTGTCTACAAACATTATTCTTGGGAAGATGTATGATGGCATTAACCTGTATGGTTTTCCAAACACTAATAACTTTTAACTTTGTTATTTTGTAATTAATATTAAAATATATTACTTTTTTAGAATAGAGGAAACAAAACAAATTGACAACTGTAGTTGACCAGTTTTAGATTAAGTAAATGTCAAGTTTGTTTCCTTTTTTGGTAATAATTTAAAACCTATTTGTTTGACATTTGTTTAATGAATCAATTCCATGCAGAATTATTTTTAAAAAATTCTAGGCACTAAAATTGGTTTTGTTTTTTTTAAAATTTTTCTGAAGTAAATACAACTAAATTTTAAAATTTCTATTTAAAATGTTATATTTTAGAGAACTGTAAAGTAATATCTAGTTTAGTTACTTATACATATTCAAGTATGTTGTTACTAGTTGGTATTGTACATGTAAAATTTGACATTTGTTATATATCAATGTTATATTTTGTTTTTTTTAACATGATTTTGAATTTATTAATTTATCATTTCCTTTAAAAAAATATATATATTTCAGGTCTCCCCAGCAAACAGTGAAGTATTTGAAATGCTCTCCGTAGAGAATAATGCCCAAGCAACGGACATCTCTCCATTTGTGGGAGGAACCTTGGACGAAGAAGGCCCATCTCCATCCATATCAGACCTTGATGGTCTTGATGAAGACACAACTCCCATATCAACTCCTTTTCAACTTACAGCTTCTGACCCAAACAGCTGAGCTATGTCCAGCTAATATAACTGGTCATCTGTCAGTGTTTCCACTGCCATTGCTGCTTTTACAGAGCACTAGTCAACAGTGGTTATCTGTCGGGGTGGGGGTATGGGGCAGGTTGTCGGTTGTATCATCTCCACCAGCCATTCTGCCCAGCCCTTACTTCTAATGCACCTTCTGTCAGCTGCCTGCCTATCTGCCTTGGGGCTCTCACGATCTCAGTGATATTTGGTGCAAGTCTGCCTCCCCCATCTCTGACCAACCCTGAATGGGAACATGTAGCTGGCCCCTGTCATCACCCTGCTATCCCACATCTTCAACAACAGACCAAGATGATTGGATGTTAGCCAGTTCAGTAATAGTCAGCAAAGCTGAATACCATGTTGGTGCTGATCACTCAATGTGATTCTTGTAAAACTGTTCACTAAAGCTGAGGCAACATATAACCAGCTCCAAAAAATCTGAAGAAAATGAATAAATCAGGAAAACTACTAAGATAAATCTAAAAGAAACTATAAAATTCCTTTGTCATTTCTTATATCAAACCTTTTTTTCTTTTTTTTTGTTTCTCTCTTTCTTCTACTTGCCAACTATTTCCAAATTGTTTATTTTGATTTTATTCTGCTTATTTATCAGGAAGATTATTTGGAGCATTGTTTATGAATATAGAGAATGGTTAAGTTACAAAATTTAAAGAAAATTAATTTCTAGGGTCATTCTTTCTATTTATATCAATTCTTTATTCAGAATTCAACATTTTTGTTTTTGCATTGTTTCTTGCTCTGAATGAATCTAAATTGGTTTTATTTTTAATTTGAAACTCATTTTCTACCAATAATTTTTATTTCACTAGAATTTTTTATAGTAATAATTCAAGGATTATTACTTAGTTTTATGTTAAAAGAATTTTTTAAGGCAATCATGCAACCAAAATCTTTAGTTTTTTGGGGTTTTTTTAAGGTGGGGTAGACTAATGAATGCAGAGCTGATTCTATTGAGACTTTAATAAGTAGCCTCTCATTTTATCAATTACAAAGTTTACAATTGATTGAAAAAGAAAAAGAAAAATTGAGTGTTTGACAAAAAATTAAATCTGAATTTTTCAAGTTTTTATTTCTCTGCACATTTTTTGTGCATGCATCAATGGAAATATAAACTATTATGCTGAAATACAAAAGTTTGTATAGGTTTACAAATATGTGCAAAAAAAGAATTTTTTTTCTGAGAAAAATTGGCCCTTTCAATTCAGTTTTATCAAACAATTGATTATTATTATGAAATTTAATCAAGAAAATGTTATCTCATTTACGTTTGAATTTTTTTTTCTTTTTCATAATATAAATTTTATCAATCTATGGGGTCAGATCTTAGTTATTTTTATATATAAGATGATAATTTTAAAAAAATTCTGCAACATCTAATAATCTATAAGATATAAAAGGAGAGGTTAATATTTATATTTATTTTTGTTTGAACATTTTCAGTTTCATTTAAGTTGGAATGTCATTTAATCATCTTCATTTATTTCTGGAATAAGATTTAGTTGGTTACTGAGTAATGTTTAACTGTTTACTTGAATTAATATTTCAATCTTGTTTGTTTTTGCATTAATTTTATTGGCATATTCTCTGGTTATCTTCAAGTGAAATTAGTGAATAATGCTTTTATATATTTTTAATAGTAAGCCTATTTTATTTGCATAAATTTATATAAACATTACCTTTCAAAAGGCTACAAATCTTTTATGAACATCTAACAGCAAGTACTCAGTTAAGAAATCATGTATTTGATGACCAGACCAAGAAACATTAATAAAATTTCCTTCCTGCATATTTTAACCTTTAACATTTTCTAATCGTTTTGTGATAACTTGGCTCATAGCACCTGAAGATTATTGGACAGTAAGTTAATGAAAATTTATTGAAAGAAAAAATTATTTCACTGTTTGAGTACATATACTTTTATACATATATAGAATCTAAACAAAAATTAGAGACAACAGTAAAGTAGGTGGTTTTGTTTTTCCCAAAAGAAATGAAATTGGCTGGATTTTATACACACACAGCAAAAATATAGGCAACGAGATAGTGTTGCTGTGGCAGCTCTGTGATGCAAACAGGATTTAGCATCATTTGAGCACTGAATGATTGAGACCAGAAAAATGAGGTACTTCCTCTGAGGTAACAACTGTTCTAGGTTGTTCTTAGTCAACACTAGGAAGAAAATACCAGGAATATCTGAATTCTGGACAGATATTAGTGACAAGTGAATGTAAGAACAGGACTTTTGGTGACTGACACAAATCCTAATGAAGAGGAACATTTCCTCAAATTCCATCTCAATTTAATACTGTTGACCCCATCACTGTACTGGGCATTTCACAGTGTTTTGATGTCCGCAACCAACAATGGCATCAGTTACTGTGGATCCTCTGGGCCCTGAAACCTTTGCCATTCGGCTGTGGGAGACTGGCATGACATGGTCCGATAAGTCTTAATTATTTTGGGTATACAATTTGTGTGTTAATGAAAAGGCATGGATCTATAAATTCAGCCTCTGTACAGACTCATGGTGCAGGGTGTGTTCTTTCAGTGTGTCAACAAGTAAAACCAACTTGACAGGTGCGACATACACAAAATTTGTTGCAGACCATTTGTACACCTTTATGCTTGCCATGTTTCCTAGTGGTGATTTCTTTCAGTAAGATAACATCTATCATTCCTCCCTGTTTCCTCATTGTGTGTGGGGGATACACTTGCCAAATTTAAACTTTACTGAACATGAATGGGACATGTTGCAGAACCGGTTAAATTGTCTACAGCCACACCTAACAAACACAACTCTGTTATAGACAGCCCTGAAATGGGTCTGAATAGTTAGACCCATGCAATGATTCCAGCATCTCATTAACTCCATGCCATGTCACATAGCACTATTATTCAGAAGAGAGGAGCTATGCATTAATTTTTTGGCACTGTATTTTATAAACAAGAAATACAAAACAGTCCGATTTCTACATAATTATGTATTTTCTAATATAACTGTAACTTTTGTCTCACAGGAAAATAAAATTCCATTTTTCACATAACTTCATACATATCAAATTTACTTGATGATATGAATGTGTTATAATTTATTTAAATATAAACATTAAATTTCCCCCCTTTTTTTTTTTTTATTTTGTGCTCCCTAGTAACAACACTATAACTGTGATATAGGCAATTACTATTGTTGGTCAGTAAAGCTTATAATACTAATAGACTATTAGTTGATTAAGTATGTAAGTTGTCTTTCTTATTTCTAGTCAAATTTAACTTGAGGTTTATACATTTCATATCTGATATGTAAATTAACATTGTTTTGTGAAGAAAAAACATTTAATTTCAATAAGTTAACTTTAATGGCAATATTTATATTTGAAATCATTAACTAATAAACATCAATTCCACTTAATATACAATCTAATTCTCCATTTTTTCTTTTCTTTTATGCATACCACATTCTCTAAAAACTCTCACTTTAGCACCCTCTTATTACTTAGATATTTTGTTTCATAGAGCTGAATAGAATTATATTTTCAGTTGTAAGTTTTTAAAGCGTACCTTGTAAGAGACCAGCATATTACCTGTCAAAAATGACAAGATTATGTATAAATCTGCACTTCTGCATAGAATCACAGTGTAGTATCTCTGCTTTCTGTGTAAACTGTTACTCAAAAAATTACAATATGGATGCATGTTGCATTTTATATATGTAGATTTTTTAAAAAGACACTTTATAAAGAGATTTTCTTAGTACAAATCTAATCAGTATGCATAACTGCACAAGCATGTATGTTATCTCAAACCAACAAAAACAAAACCAGTTAGAAAAGGAACACCTCTTTAAAAAAAAAAAAAACCTCTCTGAACTAAACAAAAACCAACAACGCACAATGACCTTGAAAGAGGAAATGTAAAATCTGAAATGGAACAAACAGTAGAGACAGTAGAGTTACTATAAGTTTCATTTGAAGTGAGCAAGATCTTCAGCTGAATCTAAGATCATAATTAGATCTGTCTGGACATTGCACTCATGGTAATAAATAAGCCTATGCTAAGAACAAGATGATATTTGATGTCAGTATTTTTCAAATAAAATAGTAGACTTGTAGCAAATACCACATACTTTTTCAAGAGAAAGTAAATTTTATGAATATTTAAACTCATAAAATTGATAGTTTTGACTTTTTATCATTTAACTCTCATTTTTGTGTGTAGTGTTTTGTAAATGTCATCCTTTTATCATCTCTTGCTTCCTGTAATGTCCTGTTGTTATTTACTGATTAAGTTTTCAAGGATTTAATTATTTAACTTGTAACACATAGTTATATTTTTGTGTTTAAGGATTATTGCTTACATTTAATTATATTTTTGTGAACTTTGTAAACATGGGAAAATATTTGAGGTTCCTTTTACAAAATGTAACAATTTGCATTTTTTTCTTTAAATATTTTAATAAAAAAGAATATTTTTTATATCCTGTGCAAACATAAAACTTTTCAGTATTCATGGAAATTTTAGTTCAAGGTTATTAGAATTATTGTGGAAAGTTAGTGATTTTTATTTTTTAGTTTTTCTACTGCTGCATAATTTTAGAATATTTTATAATGTTTAGATAATTCTAATTGCTGAGTTCTTTTCCAGAACTATACTTCAACCTAATAAGTCCTGCAAATATTTGTTATATAACTAAACTTATTTATTTTCTGAACTCTTATGAAATGCTAACTTTAGATATGATTAAATTTAAACTAAAAGTCTTATAATCTGTAGATATTGGGTTTTCTTGACTACAAAATTAGCATAGGATTAGTTTTTCTTTATCCTAATCTTTTACAAATTGATGTTAACCTTTACATTTGGTTTTAGATTTCATTTTTTTCCAGAACTTCATATTAACAGCAAATACTTTTAAATAAGGAGTAACTTGGGAAATTAATTCCTACTTTTTTTCAGCACAAACTT